CTTTCAGGACATGCCATCCATTGCCAGAAACTGCCCAAGCATAATATGAGCTAAGCCCAGCCCTCACCCCCTCCGCTGCTACTGGAAGCCTGTTTCAGAGCCATGCTCCTCAGGTGGCTGGAAAGCATCTTCTAATTTCCTGACTGTGTTTATTAGTGACCAGTTTATATCCATTTGTTCTTGTGCCAAACCTGCCTTTTGCTTTAATAGCTCTTTTCCCTTCTTCGTACTTACTTCCCTGATGTATTTATAGACAGCAATCATGTTCCCTTCATTTTGCTAGGCTTAACAAGCCAATCTCTTTTAGTTCTCTCTCATAAAACAGGCTTTCCAGGTCCTGATTATGCTTCGTTCTAGTTGCTTTTCTCTGCACCTGTTCCTGTTTGAGTTCATCTTCTCTGATAAAGTCAAAACAGCCTAAAATCACTGAAATATCCCACTGACTGCAGGACTGGGTTGGATTATTTTTCCAGCCAGAAGCATTTTAATAAACCTTGATATTATTTTGAAAGGCTATGTATTTCTTGCGTATAAGGAGGAAGTTTGGATATAAGGAGGAAGTTCTTTACTGTGAGGGTGGTGAAGCACTGGAATGGGTTGCCCAGGGAAGTTGTGAATGCTCCATCCCTGGTGGTGTTCAAGGCCAGGTTGGACAGAGCCCTGGATGACATGGTTTAGTGTGATAGCAGGCGGGTTGGAACTTGATGGTCTTAACAGCCTTTCCAACCCTAACTGTTCCATGATTCTATGATTTTTTTCAATCCAGATGTAATCTAATTAGTACTTGAAGGACCACAGTACTTAATAAAATAGTTGCTCTGACTACCTAGCTAATATGGGGCCATGACTGGCATGAAGCAGATGCTTGCTCTGCCTGCAACATTGCTCCATCCAGTGCTGGGGGAGAACCTATTTATCTAACTCCACCAGTTAACCTTTATTTTTTAAGGTTTGCCATATCATCCATCAAACTGGGAGGATTTCTTTTCACAGGTGCAAATGAGCCATCATATGTTTGCCAGCTTGGAAAACAGTTAGAAAATTAGGGGCTAGAACTGGGAGAGGCAGGAGAAATCACATTCTCACAGCCCTTGCTGAGATGCAGCTATCCTGCAAGAAACAGAGATGAGTTTTCTTCCATCACAAGTTTTGTGCTGGTTTCTGAGATCCTTGTCAGCAAATGTCAGCAGCTCTAAAGCTGAGCTCATCCTGTAATGAAACAGTTATCCCAGCCTTAAAGGCAGGATTAGCTACCCGAAGTGGAGCAGAGAGCCCCTCTGCACTTTTTAACACCTCATGAAGAGATCTGGCTGCCAACAAAAGGAAAATCCTAATGTGTAAAAAATGCATAATAATAAGGACTTTGGCTGAGTGGAATTCCATCACGGATCAGATGAAATTGCCTTGTGCAACTTGCTGAGGGCTTCAAGCTATGCTAAATGACCTTTGTACCATGTAAAATGGGCACTGCTGCAGGATGCAAGGAGAACCAGGGGCTGGGCTGCTCTTTTCTTTCCCCCCCCTATGGAGTTCAAGCTTGTCAAGAATACAACAAAAACCAGAGGGAGAAAGAAGAGGAAGAAATGTCCCATTGAATTTTGTCAGAGGAGAAAGAAAGTCTGTTTTCACATCTGTAAAGGGTCCAGGGGGGTACACAGCAAAAGTAGGATGCTACAGTCTGGTCCTGGGTAGCCAAGGATATGTTCAATGCCCCATGCAAGGGGTAAAATCCAACCTGTGCTGCAATATTTAAGGCTATAGCTGAAAACCACCTTGCCTTTGCCCTCTTTTGCCTGCCTGAGGCTCTCCACACTTGTGAAGGGACAGTGATTCTCAGAGGGTTTAGGGCTGAGGTTTCCGTGGGTGCACTCTAAAAATTAAGCCCTTGCTGCCTCCAAATGATGATAAACCCATGAATGCACTATTTATTGGTGTGTCCAAGAAGGGCTGTTGGGTGACCAGGCAGAGTCATGTCCCTGTCCACATGGGACTCAACATGACCCAAAGCTGTTCATGGGTGTCTGCACAGACTGGGAGGAGCTTTTCTTTCTCCTTTTTTCCTATGGGTTCCTCATCTGCCTTACAGGCACCTGAGCTGACAAGAGCTATAAAGGCAGGCAAGGACATAAGGGCTGGTCCTCCTGGAGGTGTTAAACATTTCCAGGCTAAGAATTATCTTGGATCACACACTCTGAGCTTCTCTTGGCACCAGAGTCAAGTCTTCCCTGGCTCAGCCTGGCAAGAGCTGCTGGGCTCTTTCCTTCTGTTTGCAGTAAGGGCTATAACCCTTTCTGTAGAGTCAATAGGGAATTCTACTTGACCACTTCTTCCCTATGTCATGACAGAAGATGCCCTTGAGATTTCCTATATTTTACAATACAGTTTTGAGTCTTTGACATAAAGTATTAAGTTTGTTATAGGGAGCAGGGCAACATTTTTTTCCGATGGACATGAAGAGATGTGGAAGAGCTATTGAGTGGTGGCTTTGGGACTGGACATGAGCTGCCTGTGATGGAGGAGAACTGAGCTCAGCATCAACGCGCTTACTATCAGTTCTGCCTCCATCCTGCTTCCTCCACTAAGGACTGGGACCAATGTGCTAGGAGCTGTACAAACACAATTCAAAAGCTTATACCTGCCTACCCAGAAATATTGCACAGAACACCCCTAACAAGTCAACAGCACAGGGTGCTTCCTTAATAAGAGAAAGAAAAAAAAGGCAATGGACACCCAAAATTGATGAGAAGAATCCAAGGTATCTCTACAGACATATTGTACATGTCTACAGAAGCAGGATATGGTCATCTGTTATCATACTCCCAGTGGCTTTGTATTTGATCTGGATGTGCATCAAATTACAAACTTCCCAAGAGCTCACCATTCAAACCACGGTCAGGTTTCAAAATAAGTGGTTTTCACCAGAGATCACCACGTTAGCATCCCCTAAAAGTTTATCCAGGGGGCTGAGAAAGGGTTTTGAAAGAAACAAGCCAACTGCAGGCACAGAGCACCAGAAAATCAGCCCTTGAGTTGCTGTCAAGACTTGTATTTATGACGTTGCCTTCGTCTCCCACATAATCCCATACTGCCCCACACATACACACCCATGTATCCTGAAGGGTGAACAAGCCTGAACAGGCAGAGATGAGTATCTGCTCAGTGGCACTAGATACCTGAATGGCTTCAGTCTCCTGCCGGCTCTTCATGCTGCTTTGCAGGTCTCTCAATAAGGATGCCCCAAATAGAAACACAAAGCTCACAGAGCACATGGTATTCCTGAAGGTCAAATGGCACAAGGAAAACAGAATCAGAGAGGAGAAATGGAGCTGGAGTCCTGCCTTCTTTTTCTACCCACTCCAGTGCCCTTTTGCATGACTTGAAGCTGTTTATTCACTCTACCTCCAAATCTTGTTTCACATATCTGTGGAATTCATACCGACCTGCCAGGAATTTCTTATGAGTTAATTTGGTCTGGGAGCATTGGAAGAGCTGCTACTGAAAAGCAAAGGGGATTTTTTTTATATATTATTATTATTTTGGGCTTTTTAATATTATTATTATTGTTAAACATTTTTCCTCCCCCTCCTTCTCCCTTCACCCATTGCTCGTGGCCAGAAGGTAACTGCACCTTCTGGGAGCATTACAGAGTGAGTGTTTCCACACATCTCCCTTGAACTTTTCTCCTGAAGGGCTGGTATCATGCTGTCAGACACCTGATCCATCTGGAGATAACAGGAGCAATTTATCCTTTGTGGCAGCTCATCTTCTTGCCCAGACGCCCTCAGTGTTGAAGCAGGGTGGAGGACAAGCAGGATAAATTTCCCTTTTTGCTTCTTTTTCTGGTGGTAGCAGCAACATTTGGCTCTGGTGATGTCCAGTTCCTCTTCCCTAGCTGAGATGGCCACTGAACAGACACAGAGAGCACGAGCATTGGCCTTGCAGCTCTTCCTCCCATGCTAGCATCCCTTTTGGATGGGTGTTTTTTTGATACAGAGTTGGATTTCTGGTCAAAGACTAAGGGGGATGGAGATCCCCTCTGTCCCATCAGTATGGTGGGTGCCTTACTCAATGTACACCAGGGCCGCTGAGCAAGGTCTCTCCAGCTCCCTGGTCCTAAACAGCCCTTAGACCTCTTAGAAAGGACCATTCCCCAGGTACATTAGTGGGCATGCAGCCCTGTCATGCCAGCACACTGCAAGCATCACACTGTGCCCACAGAACAGAGTTAACGGTGCTCTTCCAGACTGCAGGACTCCAGGGACATAGCACGTTTATCCACAGGCACGTTGCAGGGCAATGCTCCACAGTGCCTTCCCCCCATACCGACCAGTCTCCACACAGCAACCCCTTTCTTCTTCAGTTCAAAGTGCTCTGGCACTTCATCTGGAAAATTCTTTAAATCTACATTACCTCTGCCTTATTTAATCTTTTCGGGAGCGCTGACATCCAGTGCATGAAAAAGAGATTTTAGGCTGAAAGGAAAGCTGCTCCTGATCGCTTCTTGGGGCTCAGTTACAAACTGAATTGGAAACTGAAAGGTGAAAAGAATATGTTACCTTTTAAGTGTCACATTCTCCCCTGCAAAAATGCCTTTTAACTGAGCTGTTACAGAAGAAGTAGAAATAGTATCAAGCCACAGCCTTAGATTTTGCATTGTGCTTTGAATGCTCCTAAGCAGGTGCCTTTGGTGTCTGGCTTTGTTCTTGCACAAATGGGGGCCACCAGGCACATACTTGGAATTTGGGAATCCCTCAGACTGGGGAACTTTTACATCTCTGTGTGGAAGCACTGAACTGCAAGTGCCCGGTGCTTACAACACCTCACAGCACAAACCAGGTTCACCATCGGCATCAGCAGTGTTACAACAGCCCTGGCCACACTGCAAATAGCAGAAAGAGAAGCAAAGAGGAACTTGTAGGCAGCACCAATGCAGCTGAACATCATAATTCTCTGTTTATTATACTAGTAAACTGCAAACCACAATGGCCCTTGGAGCTTACCTGGTTTTAGCTTGAGGTGTTGCAGATTTTGTGCATCTGAGTTGAAGGATGTGCAGCAACTTATTGTACAACATTCTCTTCATGCTGCAGGACCCAGGGCACACAAAGCACTCACACGATCCTGGCTGGATCCCCATCAGCAGAGCTATTTTAGGACACAATCAGCAGGATATAGTCTTAGGACACAGTCTTAGGACACCATGTCTCCAGGAGGCACAGCTGCCTCCAGCTAATTACTGACCAAAACCATAGCCCCAGAGTGCCTTCCCGCATCAAAACATATATTTACCTATGGTGGAAAAGTATCAGGTGCCCCTCTACCATTCCCAACCAAACTGTTCATCCACTTGTCCTGGTGGATGTAGGATTTATAGGTGCCAGTGACAGAGAGATGGGCAAAAGTGCTGCAACAGGACAGAGAGATGGAGGGACTTGGAGTGCAGGTCAAAAGCAGATGGAGGGAGAGAAAAGGTTGGCTGGAAGCACCTCTCCAGAGCTGCTTCTTCTCTGTGTATCTCACAAATGCCATCATCTTCAACCTCTGCACCTATATAATGACTGTCTCCTGGCACCCTTACATGGGCCAGCCTGTCCTGACAAACTTCTATATCTGTCCTCATTCCCTTTTTTTCCCCCCCAGGACACTGACCTGGGCTGAGACCCATCATTTTTGACAGAACCCAACTTCAGTAGGAGTGTTGCCCAGTTAAGAAAAAGAAAGCCATAGTTTCCCTATAGAAAAGATAATCACTGTTGTTTGTGAGCAAACAGACTGTAGGACACTTATAAGAGCAGTGTAACAGAAAAAGATGCTCTTTATATATCAGACAGGCTGAGAAGTGATGATTAAAATGTCTCCTGTCATGATCAAATGGCAAATATAAAGAAATATTTTCTTACTGTTAAGCTTTCATAGCAGCCTTGTCCAGAAACCCTTTGATATTGTACAGTATCCAGTTATGTGAGTGCTCTTTACAGAAACAGGCACAAGCCTTTGTTGCAGGAGATCTTAGCTCAGTCCTTCCCTCTGACAGTGACTTAAGTGGTAGCACTGTGGTTCAATTCAATTGCTTATGCATGGGCATCTGATGCCACTGAACATGGCCTTCAGTGTCCCCCCAGCATCCATGAGGACACAGGTGGACCAACCCTTCTGTCTGATGGTGTTTGAGATACTCCCAATCTTGTCCAGAGGCAACGGATAACCAGATCAATGCAGTCAGATTAAACCCTTATCAATCCCCTGTGCATCAAGTTGCAGTCTACAGAACTTGAAACACCTTTTCCTCCTTGTTTTATAAAACTCCCTGCAACACCTGCAGATGGGATCTACATCAGGGCTCTCTTAAGGGGGTACCATTCTGTCCTTCTGTAATACACATACCAAAAGCATTTTAAAGGATAGCCCTTTCCTGTTGCGCTGATTAAAGGTTTATTGGTCTCTCTTGGGAGGCTGGTGAACCCCCCATGTGTATGCCTCCTCTGCATGCTGTGAGCCCACTGAGAATCAAAACAAAATACAAACAATCAGGAGCAAATTGCTTTTTATTTATACAACAAAGTTAATAGGCATGGAGTGCAGAGGCAGAGGAAGCTCCATCTCCAGCAGATGAAGACCTCCCAGTGAGCATTGGGTGGAGCCTGGCCTGCCCTCAGCTCCTTGAGGCTTCATCCCCATCCAGCAGTCCCAGGTAAAGTGGTTGAATCCAGTTAGCAGAAGGAAAAAGGGAGAAGCACTGCTTCTGTTTACACCAGAGTGCTGTGGCTTGCACCCTATTAGCTTATGAGTTACAACAAGTGATGGATGTATGGGTGAAAACTCAGGAGCAAATACCCCTCCTGAGCAGATCCAGATGGCCAGGAGCTAGAAATGCATCTGGTACCAAACCAACATGGCTTGGCTATAGCTGGGAGCAGGGACATAAGGGAGGGCTGCATGTGAGCAGCTCCATCAGAGCATCCCCAGGACAAGCTGTGGTGCAGACAGCTCTGACTCACTGGTCCTCCCAGCCTCATCCTGGAGCAGAAGTGGAGAGCAAGTCTGCACCAGCCCCAGAATGATTCCCCCACAGCAGCTGTGTGGGGATGTAAGCAAGGGGAGATGGGACTACTGCTGCTTACCATGCTTTCCATCTCACCTCTTGTGTAGGGAGGACAAGCACAGAAAGTCCTGCTTACTTCTGGACAGGGTGCTGGGTGGCGGCAGATCAAGAGCAAGAGATTAACAGCACAAAAGATGGAGGCAAAGTAGGGAGGTGAACATTGATCCCTTGGGGCAATTTGCCCCCCTGGCAGGACATATTCCTTCTCCTCTATAGGAAAGCACTCCAACCAAATACCTATTTCTTCAGTGTTTATGCACACCTGAGTTTGCCACCGTCTCTCATCACCATCAGTGCCTACCTCTCTGAGGGCACCCCAAATGTGCAGTTCATACCTGGAGCCCTGGGGATGGGCTTGGCTCTGACGCCAGGCAGACAGGTGAGCACTGCTGGTACCGCAGCTCCGCGGGGGGAATGACTCCCTGATTTATCTCCAGCCAAATCCTCCCTGATGTAAATCGCAGAAGCTGTCTTGGCAGGGAGCCCCATCCCCTTATATAAGCTGAAATATTGCCCTTTGAGGTTTATCCATTACTGCCAGACCGCTGAGCTGTTTGTCTCCAGCAAGGGCCCCAGAAGAGGAGAGGATGGTTGTGTTAGCACCATTTTTGTCCGTGCTAGGTAAATATTATTGCGCATTCTCCCTTGCGTCAGAGGGCCCAGCGCTGCTTGGACTCTGCTCTGTAGTGCTGAGATACTGGCTCAAATACTAGGGATTTAATTTGACCCCATAAGCATCTTTCACAGCTAAATGTTAGCTCTTTGGCAGCAGGGGTTAGAACATCTTTTGGGAGGTTGGAATTTACATACACACACACAGAGGAAAAGATTTCTTAAGAAGAATTGAACGCAGCAAATCACTGTGCATCTGGGAAATGGGTTTTCAGTGAACTGTAATCCCGTACCCCTTCATGCTTCCTCTCTGCCTTCCCACCCACAGAGATAAGCGCACACACACCAACACCTTTGAAACCCTCTAGTGCCAAGCAGATGCCCAGCCCATGCTCTGCCCTGCACAGCCAGCATCTCTTCAGTCATTTGTACCCCTCTTTGCTGAAGAGATCTGCCCTCCATCCCCATAGAATCATAGAATAGTTAAGGTTGGAAAGGACCTTAAGATCATCTGGTTCCAACCCCCTGCCATGGACAGGGACACCTCCCACTAAACCATGTCACCCAAGGCTCTGTCCAACCTGGCCTTGAACACCACCAGGGATGGAGCATTCACAGCTTCCCTGGGCAACCCATTCCAGTGCCTCACTACCTTTACAGTAAAGAACTTCCTTATATCCATGCTCCCACAGTGATTAGATTGCACTGTTGATCCAGTTGTGTTTGGAGAGCTATGTGTTTAAATGTTGGTGAGATGGCAAGCCTGGCAGAGGAAGGCAGCTATTCCCTCTGCAGAGCTCTGATAAGGCCATGGGTCTGGCTAATAGACCAGGAGGGGCTGATGAGGTCTGCTGAGTTTTGAAGTGCTCATTACATAGCTGCAAGATTGCAGAAGAGAGCAGAACTGGTGCCCAAGCAGTGTAAACCCAGAGATGGCGACAGGTAACCTGAAATTACCAGCTGGGACATCGCTTCTCTCATCTGATCTCACTTGAGCTGCCACTTGAACTTGAAGCTTAAAGTGTTTCCTTGCACTGAAGTTTAGCAAGTGCCCTGTGGCTGTTATCATTCCAGAATCCACTCTCAGGCACTGGCATGACAGGAACTGTTGTAGAGAGGCTCTTGGGTGGGATCTTATGGTAGAGCTGGGTCAAGTCTTCCTAACTCAGTGACAATTCACATCCCCGAGTAGCAGCATACACTGAGAAGTGTTGTCCTGGTGGGGACACCTCTTCTCTTTCTGTCTTTGACCTTCCAATCTCTTCTGGAAAGATCCATTTCAGCTCATCCTGCCCTGCCCAATGCATTGAGCTTGGCTCCACTGCTGTTCCCCCAGTGCTGAGGCAAACGTTGCTTCTCCGAGGGGAACCCACCTCGGATGTGCTTTTCTCTGACTGCAAGGGTGGTGGGGGAGCAAATCACTGTTTGTCACAGCATCAATCCCTATCCCATTCCCAATGCTTCCTCCATTTGATACCTCTCATTTCAGTCCTCTCTGCCACCTGGCTTGAGGGAAGAGCCTCACCTGAACCCAAAACCAAAGCAAAACAGGGGTTCAAAGTGTGAGATCCTGCATTAGGTAAACCCCAATTTACAGTAAGGCAGCCCCCCATCCCCTTCAGCATGTTTCTCAAGGGCTGGGGACCATTGTTTGAGAACAATGCAGCATTTTTATAAAAGAGTAGAGCACAGTTAATAAGTTCACTGAGAAAAACACAGCCTTTTAATATCTCTCTTTGTGACTCATAGTGTGAGAGCCAGCTGTTACTACTGGAGTGAAATTCCTTGCTGATTAGTCTTTTAAAGGGCTTCCCAGATAATTAAATAATGATTTCTCTCCCCATTCATTCTAAGTGACAGGAGAGCCTGGCAAACCCACTAAGCATGGAAGGGCAGCATGTTTTCCCAAGCCTTATAGGAGCTTAGCTATTCTGTGGCTAATCCGGTGCTCAAACCCAGCCGCAGATCCCTGCATCAAGGGACAGGCTGTCCCGCTCCATGATGCTCCAGGAGTGACTTGGGTTTTGCTGCCTGAAACACAGGAACAAGGCTTTAGGCCAGGGTTTTTAAATACGTCAGGAAGGATGGCCTTACCTGGGTGGACAAATAAAGGCTTTTTACCTGAGCTTCCAAAGAAACTAAGCTTGTCCTGAGGTTTGCATGAGCTGAGCAACACCAATTAATGACTCTGTCCTCCCTGGGCTGTGTTCAGGGCCACAGCTAGAAAGAACAACAGATATGGGGGCCATCTGGGGGTATTTCTGGGATAATCTGGTCTTCAGCACATCTGATGTTTCCACTGCGTTTCCAAGTCATGGCATGATCCACAGTGATTTGCTCAGGCAAGCATTTTAACCATGTTATTTTGTGGCCTCTCTGGGTACACCTCCATGGTCT